CCCCCCCTCCCTTAAAAAATATTTATGATTACCGTCTATGTCAACTTCATTGATCATATCCTTGAGTTCGGACAATGTTGGGTTTTGTCCAAGAGACCTCATAACTGTGCCCAACTCCTGTGTAGTAATTGTGCCATCACCATCCTTGTCGAACAGGGAGAAAGCCTCCTTGAATTCTAAAAAGACAATTACATTATCAAGTTTTGAATATGATATAAAGTCGAATGTATCCATCAATGTACTTTACTGAAAAATTGCCTTTTATTAGTCGATAAATTATTATGAACTAGCCATTTATATATGGTGGATTAGCAGCCAACATTGGCCTGCGCAAAGACTGTTTAACTAATACAACTCATATAGCTGTGACCAGTACTCCAGTAGTTTATACAATTGTCATCATTTTATAACTCATCAATAAATTCCAAGAAAGAAGAGCTTACCTGCAATTTGTTCTTCTGTGAGGTCAGATGTCTAAAAATAGGGTCAACAAATTATTTGTTATGAGAATGAAAGTAGTGCAGTGAGWTTTCGACCAAAATAATAGATAGGAACTGAAGACACGTTCTGAAACTACATGATCACCCGCAGGTGCGCGCAAGTCGTCATCCCAAGTAAGCCTTTTCGGACAATTTTAATGGGTTCTCCAAAACCAATCTTCAAAGTCACAAATCTTCAAAGTTTTTTAAGCTGACTCAATTACTTTTACTATGGTTACCATCAGTATACAAGTACTCATAGGTGTTATATTATCACTGATTTTCACTTGCAACTGAAATATGAATAATTTGACATAGCGTTCTCCAAAACCACTCTTAGAAGTCACAAATCTTCAAAGTTTTTTAAGCTGACTCAATTACTTTTACTATGGTTACCATCAGTATACAAGTACTCATAGGTGTTATATTATTACTGATTTTCACTTGCAACTGAATTATGAATAATTTGACATAGCGCCAAATGACTTTCAATCTAAGATTTGATCATCACTCGCCGGCGCCAAACTAGTATTTTAAACTATATATCATTTTGCTTGTATAACCATCATAAATAAAGAACATTTTATAATAAAAGACATTAAACTTACCCCGAATGTCATGATTAATCTTTATCAAAACGTTTTCAACCTAGCGGTCGTCAGGAGTTTTCTCAGTGTTAGTTAAGTTCAACGAGAGGAAAGCTCTAAAATTAAGTGTCGGTGTCCGTGGCATCAAATACGGTCAAATAACTTGAATTATGCTCATTCGGCATCGAGTCCCTTTAATTGGCCGACGAGAGACGAGTTTTAGGCCAAAGGGCTACGAAGCTTCCGTTTTGTGGTATATTGAGTGATTCATGAGTAGGACATTGTTTTATCATTTGTTTCTCTAGAATCCTGATCCAGTATAAAATGAACGCCATCAAAAACAGGAAATTGGATAAAGATGTTAATATACCCCTACAAAAAGTGTCTGTGTTACTGTTCCTTTAAACCCTATCAGTTTCGTTAAAAAAGGGGAAATTTCCTCGACTTAAGCAGATAAAACGTAACTATGAACAACATGGGTACATACTCTGTCACTACTTCTGCCGCCCACTTGAGTCTGTCCCGCCCAAACCACAACCAACATACCTATCTACAAGAAGTCTTTTAAAGGAAGTGTCTTTGCTCCTATAGCGAACATAGACAAATATAGCTTTGACCTCTGTAGGCGTTTGTCCAAGCGGTAAATGGGGATTCTAATTTTTCATGTACTAGCCGCAGTCAGGTCTGGGTAAATCATGCCAAACCTCAATCCTAAAGGAATTTTATTCTGTTTACAATAGTGAATGGTCTTGTAGTCTTCTTGATTTCATGTCGCTAAATATAAAGAAAGGGCATTTCATCAGGGACATGTGTAATTCGCAGACCGGATATTAGAAGTATTGTCGTTAAAAGACTATTAATAAGCTCTTTGATACGTATAATTGCTAACTCGTTAAAGATTTTCTTAAAACAATCTTCAGAGATTGTACTTTTTTCAACATAAAACTATTTGTGCCTGTCGTGGAAGATATTATTTAGTTATCCTTTCAAACTCTGATGTCATCTCTTTATTATTTTCGTTATATACTAAAAGTGCTCCAGACGGGCGATATGAAAATTTATCTGGATGCAATTCAATACAATTTGGTCTTCATATTTCCAAAAGAATGACACATGGTCTGGAATAGTCACGGAAAGACACATTCTTGTGACCTTTACTGTAACTCAGTATATCAGTGATACTTGAATTTTTCAGTTTTCTCACGCGAAAGTTGTGTTCGTGAATCATGATCAATTCAAGCATCACTAAATCTTAATCATATTTCATCTCCATTATGTAGAGCAGCTTTGACTTTTATTATACGTTCTTAAAACTTTTTTTTTAAATTTATATATTCACCAATATTGGATAGCATAGTGGAATAACGTGAAATTTAAAAGTATGTTAAAATTTGTACTTGTATTATGATATACAAGAAAGAAATTGAAAAATACATATTAATAAATATACATGTACTTTTTTTCTGAAAAAGGACTGATGCATATAGGTTTTGTTGCTCGTAGCATGTTCATGTTGCACGTCACGTTGTAGCATGTTCATGTTGCACGTCACTTGTGGCATGTGGCATGTTGCACGTTGCACGTTGCATGTTGCATGTTGCATGTTGCATGTTGCATGTNAAATTGACTATAGTATAATAAAACATTACATCAAGATTAAAATGAACTATATATAAATTTAACTGTGAAGCTCAGCGACACCACGCTCACGCGGACGACGCAGCAATGCAGCTGAACGTAAAATAATATACTTCAGCAACGTCGAAACGCCGCCCCGTGAACACGGAAACTATGGATAAAAATGTGGCAAAAAGTCTGCTCTTCGAGAAATTTCCGGCTGTCTGTGATCAATAGGAACACTGCGGTAATCTGGAACTCGAAAAAGGTCTATATTTCAATTCATTTTAAAGCATTTTTTCATTATACAATAAGATATATCTATAAAAAGAATTCAAGTGCTCCGCAAGTAGCAAACCACTCAGACGCATCGTTCCTAAGATACAAACTCTCGACATTGTAGAAAGTATCCCCTCAAAAATCAAGAGCCCTTGGAAAGTCTGTAATATAAGATTCCAATCTTAAGATAGCATCCACACTTGTTTTAATCCCTGTTTTAGATATTTTTAGCCAAGTTAATTCTTATCGAGGTTTATGGCTGGTAATCCAATGTATTTGAGCAATCCAAACTTTAAAAAAGCTAATCTTGTAATAGCTAGTCGGCCCCTTCTACGCATGCACTTTCAAGGGGAGTAACACATTAAAATAGCTTAGTCAAAAGTTCAAAGCAAAGTCGAGACCTCGAGAGGGAGAGGGTTAGCCACAAGCGTGAAAAACGTGTTGCATGCTGCATGTTACATGTTGCATTATTGTACATGTTGCATGTTGTATGTTGCATGTTGCTAATCTTGTAACAGCTAGTCGGCCCCTTCTACGCATGCCCTTTCAAAGGGAGTAACACATTAAAATAGCTTAGTCAAAAGTTCAAAGCATGCTGTTGCATGTTGCATGTTGCATGTTGCATTATTGTGCATGTTGCATGTTGCATTATTGTGCATGTTGCATGTTGCATTATTGTGCATGTTGTATGTTGCATGCTGCATGTTGCATGCTGCATGTTGCATGTTGCACGTCACGTTGCATGTTGTATGTTGCATGTCGCATGTTGCTTACCAATTGCAAGTTTGAATTGTACTATATTCGACATATATGTAAATAATGTCAGCACAGAAGAAAATATGCAGAAAAAACCTAAGCAGACAAAGTTGAGAAAATTCGTTCCATATCGTCGTGACTTCGCTGTTTGCATTCACATCTCCAATAACAGACATAATGCATCCTCGGGCTTGGTATGCAACGATCAACGCTGGACATTAATTCAACAAAAACTCACCAACCTCTCAAAAAGCTGTATGCATGAAATACACGAAAACTGAAATCTGGCCAAGTTTAATGTTTTAATACATTTTTGAACTGTCCTCATTTGCCCATTAATGATAGTGGAAAATGACTGCCTGCAAGCGTAGCTGATACGGAATGGGACGCACTATATCTGTCCAACGCCATAGATATTACAGCCAATAAAAATACAGGAAAGCCGTTGCGCATTTCGGTGATAATTTACTGTTTCTTCCCATCAGGCATTTCAGCCTAGGTTTTTTTCCAATAAAGTGGGACAAATAGATAAAATAGTTGTACATTCTTGTTCGTAGCACAAAATGGAAATTCACTTTCCTGAAGGTTCGAGTGTATACTAGAAAATACAAGTGCGTCTTGGGATATTCCATGGTATGTAACCCAAATTGAATTATTGCAACATTGGATAAGTATGATATAGCTATCGCAGCAAACCATAAAGTATAATTAATGTAGCTCAGGTTCACCATTCACTCGCTAAATCTCCTTTTTTTCTCCCTATAGCTATCATGGAATAATGGTTGGGCATGTTTTAAGCCAATTTATCTGTTTAATTTGCTTTATTTTTAGCTACACCTCTATACATTATTTCTTCTTAAGTTGATCAGAATTTCATTTGAAGTTGCTAAGTCATTTGGCAGCCATCATTCTAACGAATTCTGTCGACAAAAAGAAGAAGAAATCATCAATGTATTTTAATCAATGTATCACACCTTTCTGTATTAGTTTGGGTTCAATATTGCATCATATTGCATCACTTTTTCCCTTTTTCGGCCACGCGTCATTCTCTTAATAATAACGTTCTTGGTCTGCGGAGCCATGTGTATTCTCATGCGCGCAATTCGGGTAAATAAAGAAATAGTGTTCTAAAGGATGCATGACACATGGTCTGGAACTAATGGAAAGCATTACACCCAAGGTAAAGAGGTGGACTCTATAGACGTTTTCCCATTTCAGACTACGTGTCATTCCCTAGAGTATGATTCTTTTTTTCACGGTTGCACATGAGAAATACGACTCAAACAGAGAATGACACAGGGTCTGAATTATGGAAATGGATAAACGTAACACATTACGCCCATACGTCACTCTAAACCCGGAGAGTCAAGTTCCTTTTACTGCGCATGCTCGATAACCTTGGCATTCAGGAATTGTAGTTCCCGAGTTCCAGAGTTCATAAGGAAGGCAGAATCTATTACATTAGGCAAATGCTATTTTTGGTGGGGGAGGGGGAATTCTGAAGACATGCAATGAGAAGCCATTTCAATGCAACGGCATGTGGTACCCTCTAGCTGAAGTCAGTATACATACCGTATGTTTCCCGCACTCATACGAAAACCGCTCTAATCAAGCACATGCAGATATAGTGCTAGGCTCAGATTTCAGCCGTTGGGGTTTCGTGCGCCCGCGATACTCTCCCCCGTAAATTCAGAAAATCATGTAAAAGCTAATCTATTTCAATGGCACGCACACGAATCACTGGCTATAATACTATACCATCATAATTAACTTGTCCATCTCCGTCAATATCAGCTTCCGTGATCATTTCTTCGACTTCCTCATCAGTGAGCTTCTCTCCAAGATTAGTCATGACGTGTCGGAGTTCAGCAGCACTGATAAAACCATTGCCATCTTTATCGAATACACGGAAGGCCTCACGGATTTCTTCCTCTGTATCTGTCTCGCGCATCTTTTTGGCCATCATTGATAGGAATTCCGGGAAGTCTATCGTTCCGTTACCTAAGAATTTAAAAATGAAATAAAATAAAATCGGATGTTCACTAGCCGGATATCTTGCGATGTCTGCAGCGAGTGTTAGTAAATGTCAATGATTGTTTTTTGCTTCCGCTGGAAGTAATTTTTTCTCTCAATAAGACGGCGGTTTTCTAAACAGTTTGCAAGATTTTTTTCAAAATGATTTCTTTGGATGTCTGTTGGCATGCTTCCCGTTGTCAAGTTAGTGTGTGTAAAGATGCTTTCGATGGGAGTCAATTACATTCAACGCCATTAATTCTTCGATTGCACGTTACGTCATCGCGGCCTCTCGGGGGAGCCGGCGTTGATGCCATAGTAACAAAAAAWTTTTTTTTAAACATGTTCATGAAAAAATATGCGGTTTTTTTCAGGGGAATGTCACGTGGTCTGAAATGGGAAATTTGCATAGGAAGGTAGATAGGTCTATTCAGCAAAATACAATGTCAATAAGAGAGTTCTTTATGTTTGTGAAACATCGACACACTATTCTCTGCCTTATACCCGGGGGTCTGGGGTGGGGTTTCAATTGACTAATGCAATGAAGATAAGTTAAGGATACTACTTACCATCTGCGTCAACTTCATTGATCATGTCCTGTAGTTCAGCTTCAGTAGGGTTTTGTCCAAGAGACCTCATAACTGTGCCCAACTCTTTGGTGGTAATGGTGCCATCACCATCCTTGTCGAATAGGGAGAAAGCCTCCTTGAATTCTACACACACAAAAAAGAGAGCAGAATTAACTAATGAATATGATAATTATATCACCTCTAGGGTGTGGTGGCTTCAGCATGGTATAACTGCATCACTGTAATAGAGAGTTTTAGATTGACTTTTTTTTCTCCCCGCAAACGGCAAACATGACCACGTTTTCATAGTTTTCCTTTATTTTACTTTACCTTCTACAAACCTTCTCACCAAGCGCAAATACTCTTTTGTTTTTCTATTACTTGGACTTTTTTTGCGATTCTTTTTCAATAATTTAAAAGAATTTTTTACTGGTCAACTGACGTTTCACGTTTGCCGTGAACGTAAATCTAAAACTCTCTTATATTAAAATTATTTAGTGTAAGCCAGTGTAAGCAGAATTTTATTTTAGTACCCGACTTATTGATAATTAAGCGGTAACAAAACTACTTGCATTTTCAGTGTAAAAGATATATTTTTGAATAGCCGAAAATTACCCAGGATAAAAAACGAGGAAGGCGCATAGCATCACCGTGCCGCCATATATGACATAAAGCAATGCTTTATGAACCGAGGTAGGCCACGTATGTTCGACATATTAAACATAGTTTTTTTCCTACAAATAAATTTATTTGGAGATCCACGTTTTTGTATCATACATGAAGTACCATACGTCGACTTTACAGCCTCGAAGTTAAACCTGAATTTTATTATACCGAACATGGCCTATTTTTGCGTGTGGAATTTCTTACCTCGCGTGTCCGAAAAATTACAAATGCAAATTCCCAGAAATAATTAATCGTGCAACGGATACCTCGAATAGTTTTTAAAAGATGAGTGCAAATTCATCTTATTTTTACTTTATTTTTTTCCAAAATTCATGCCATCAGCATGACACAAAATATGCACATAAACAGAAAAATGGTCTACTTAATTTTTATTTGAGTTTTGGTACGACGTCGATCACGTGTCCAGAAAATAATAAAGAAGACAACGGAAATTTCATTAAAAAATCAGTAATCAAGGCTTTTAAAAAAATCTTTTTACCGGTATACTGCACATAAATGAAATCAATTTAGCTTCCTAATTTGTTCGTGGGTTTTAGTGTGACGTCACGTTTCCGGAAACTGACCACGCAAATTTCACTTTAAAAAATTCATTAATCAAGGCGTATCTTCAAGCAAGGTAGATCATAAAGAAAAATCCCTACTACTTATCGAACGCATCATGTTCTGTTGAATTCACTTTCACAGAATGGCCCTGCGGTAAAATCACAAGCTGTCAGTCGAGCTGTTGTTAAGTGGCCGAGGGAAAATACGTAGTTCACTGATATCTTCAGCAGTGATTTTTTCCACGATAAGTGCATTATCTAACAGATGTTTTTGAGGAATCAAAATCAATTTATAAATTTGCCATTAACGAAAAGTGCACTCAACGACGTCTATAAAATCAATTTAATCTTGTGAAAAAAGTTTGTTATTCATGAGGGGTCGTTTTCTGCGTAATTGTTTTGTTAGTTCATTTTCTTGATACTTTGATATTTGTCAAGTTAACGCATGAAAGTGTCGATATAATCAGGCCCTGCATTTGTATTATCAAGATTATTGGGTGACTATTCGCTTCCACCAAGAGTATCACGTGGTGATATGAACCGGCGGGTGAAAAATCTCGCGAGTATATCGTTTAAAATGTAATATGTATTCAGCCTTTTTTGGGATTTATTTTTACTATAACGTTTTGTTTTGTTTGTTGTTTATTTTTGTTGTTGTTGTTGTTGTTGTTGATGT